CATTTTGTGTGTTTACATTGTTAGTGATGTTGGTACGTAGAAGCAATACTACAAACTGCATATTTTCATTAGTTTATTCGATGGGTATGTATTACATATGACGTCATTCCTTCTCAGTATACTCACCACTTACGCACACCCAGTGAACGCTTAGAAGTCTTACAGCTTGCTGACATTATGACGTCAAAATACACAGCGCACTTTAAACTGCTTCTCGATCTTCTTCTTTTCCCGACGGAAACGTTTTGATCTTTGTAACCAACCAACCTATAGGGTCTGCTAGCTGATCCTCTCAAAGATGAAAAGCTGAGTCCTTTAATAAGCTGATTGACTGTTGTTGCTATGCCTTTGTTGTACGTTTCGGCGTCCGTTCGGTTTGGTTCTGCTTTGTCTGTACTATAATGCATATTATATCGGAGCTCGGGCATCAACTATAGATTATAATCATATCTATCATATGTCGTCGGTAGAGTACTGAGTGGTTAGGCTACCGGACTCGTGATCGTGAGATTAAGGGTTAGTGGGTTTGAGGCTTAGACCCCACGTTGTGTACTTGTGAAAGGCAGCTTACACGAAGTTTCCTCACTTCACCCAGGTGTGAATGGGTACCCGACAATAGACAGAGTAAGACCTTATCAGTATGCCAGTGTTTACGTGCCTGCAAAATGCCTGCTTGCACTGCATGTTTCAGAGAAGCTGAGATTTTTAATAAATGCAATCGGATCTGCTGGGGTAAGAATACATGTTGTTGTTCTTGTTGTTGTTGTTGTTGCTGTCATTGTTGTTGTTTGGCGGTAATTTGTGCTATATAAATGCTATCTATATTTATGATTATTATCATCAGATATTAATTGTCATATCGTTGAGCCAGTCGCTGTACAATTACTATATATGTTTGTAGATTTGCGTAATTGTAAGTTAGTTTGAAAGCCTGGGTGTGACAATGTTCCCCAACAACATAATATACACAGCGGCAATAGAAACTTTTTACTAGGAGAGAAGTCTGTATTGTGCTGATTATTGAACACTTAAAACCCAAAATTGAGGCAGACATATTTCAAAGTATGTGAAAAGGTGTATCATCTTTTGATTCATGATCATGTCTCATGTGGTGGCACAGTGTTAAGCACAAACTGATACCCCTTGATTTCAAAATTTCAAGGTCTGTAACGTGCATTGTCGCCCCTTGCAATTATGCAAACTTGGCGTATTCTGCCAGTGTTAGCGTCTGTTTTTGGGGGGTTTTTTGTTGTTGTTGTTTTTTTTTAGGGGGTGGTTTAGGGGGGGGAGTTGTAAATAAATAATTTTAGAAGTCAATTCCACTCCCAAATCAAACTTGTCCCAGTCGTTGTACAATGTTAATGTCGTTTTGGGAGCGCACTCTTAGGCCCATTCAGTTCAAGCGTAATTACTGGAATGATGGGAAACTTTGGTCATTATAGGGCTGCCTTGCTCGATGTCCAAATGTGTTTTGACGCCGCTGTATTCTTCTTTCGCTGATAACTCTTCCAGTGCCTGTATGAAGATGACGTGTAGAGCTCGTCGTTGTGAGAAAGATGCCAGAGCAGTATCTGTCTGTCTTCTTGGGCAGTATCGACCTGTGGTCTGCCTGGTCTGGGTCTGTTAGGTGTAACTCCAGCAGTGACTTGGAACCTATCTTTAAGGATATTGATGTTTGGATGGGAGCAATAAAGCACCTGCGCCTCTGTAAAGCAGTTTAAGTATGCAAAACCCAGCTGTGATGTGTGTAACTTTTCTTCGGTTCTAGAACCGCTAATTTGATGATCTAAACACAATTTAGACAATTTCATAAAATCGGTGGAAATAAAGTCATAAAATGTGTTAATTTGTAAGTGGGTCATTTAACCACGAGGTTAGATTTTTGTTCAAGAAAAAGATCAACGCGGAGTCATCATTGAGGACATTGTGAGTGATGTGCAAAATATCGCTCCCTGATACGACTCACTTGAACAAGCACGCTGTTACAAAAAACAAAGTGGAAAGCTTCTATTGCAGCTGGGTATACATGTATATCTGTACGCAACCGCATTCCCTCAGATGATTATAATAGTTGTGCATCTGAGCGTGTGAATACAATGACATAAGAGTGTGTGTGTGTGTGTGTGTGTGTGTGTGTGTGTGTGTGTGTGTGTGTGTG